CAGGTGGAACTAAAATGTCCAGAGCAGTGGATTAGACCCATCCTTATTCACTTGAAACTTAGATTTCAAATTTAGATGAAACTTGTGGCATTTATCAAGGACATGACCAAACATTTTACAGCGGGTACAATATTGGATTCTATGCTCCATGACGATTAGTTGTCAATAACCATTATAGGTTGTGCCCAACCATACATCAGTAACATCAGGTAAAATAATATCCCTTTCCACAAGTATTCTGGCCACCGAGGGTTTGGTTATGTTGAAAGTAAGCAGATCTAGCTTCAAAAAAACCTCAATGATGACCATAATAGAGTAGAGAACCTGATGGTGAAAAAAATGCAGCATGAGACCAAGTAAACTAAACCATACCGGTACAGTGGGAGTTTCATGATTTGGGTCAAAATCAGGAGACCACTTGAGTAGCTTCATAGGTTTACCAGCGATGTTAAGATATTTTTTGGAGAAAATCCGAGTGTAGTCCTTAGGCACGGTTAACTGAATCAATACATGTCTCTCATCCATGAGCCCCACTTTTCACTTTCATGTTAATTTGAGGTCATCAAAACTTTTTCTGATAATTTTCATAGGTGTGTGTCCCCACTGAAATTTTTCAATAAGAGCAAATTTGAATTTGTCAGTCAGTGTTGAAATTTCTGACGTGGAGAAAAAGAGTGTTGTTCCTACTTTTTATGCACTTTTTCTGCTTACATTCATAATAAAGGGACAGTTACATGTACCATCACGATGCTCCTAATAACTTGAAGGGAAGACAACCGCCGTTTCCCCCTGAGGATTACCCACCACGTGGGCAAATGAGGTTTTGTCAGGTTCAACCGAAGAAGAAGGAAGCTCCATCACACCAAAGAGAAGCCCTGTAAGTTGGGCTGAGGGCAAAAAAGACGAGCCGAAGAGTTCGGGGCGCAGACCGTAAATGAAATGCGTAGAAGACGACAAAGAAACGAAATCGCAGCTCGACAGACATGAAACCGCAGCTTGATTCGCGCAGAAAATAACCACAGAAGCTGGAAGACTACCCGCAAGGCGCGAAGGAGGAAATGATGAAATCGTAGAAGCATATGTCGAAGCCCTTTGTTGTTTGGCGCAAAAGAGAAGACGACGATCACAAGGTAAAGTCCTCCATCGTTGTTGTCGAGTGCGAGAACTGCTTCGTCGTCATCGAGCAAGGGTTTAGCCATCATCGTTATTTGGTCCAGTGGGAATCAAACCAGGGTTTGCTTAGAGAAACCCTAGCAGAGCAAGGGATTAGCCATCATCGTTATTTGGTCCAACAAGGGTCATCGAGCAAGGAATCAAACCAGGGTTTCGCCATCAGGCGAAACCCTAGCAAAGCAGATCGCCATTGGCTATATATATATATTTTTTGAAAAAGAAAATCGTTATTTGGTCCAGTGGGAACCAAATAACGCTTCCCCATTTGGGCCGAAACCCGGTGTGCTTTAGTTGATCCGAAGAGCCCGCGACACGGGATTTGAATCCCCTACCCGAGGGACTTACGCCAGAAGGCACACTAATGAGCCGAGACATGAGGCGCGCGCGCGCGCACACACACACAAATATATATATATTTCTCATGGACTATTACCTACAAATGATAGTGTTCAGACTGATAATCAGGAGAGCCTCGTAGCTCCACTTCTTCAGGAAGTATCTGGTGTATTGGCAACTCATACTTCACATATACTAGAACCTATTGTGGGTACTACGATTGGTATTCCTTCTGCTTCAGCTCTATCACCCCATCAGACGGATTCTTCAGAAGAGGAATGACAGGTCTATTCCAGAAGGAAGAAGAAGAATGGAGGCCGACTCCAGCTCGGGAACATATTGAATGATACATTGGTTACTGCTGACAATGACAATCATCTCACCAGCTTATTAGCTTGCTTCTTCTCTAGAACTAGAGGCAGAGACAAGACCAAATTGAATCGCTCTCTAGCCACCTGATATTATGTATTTCGACACTGTTAGACTTTTTAATTATCTAATGTATTTTTCTGTTTTTTCTAGTTTTGGAACAATTTGTGGTTTTTGTGTGAGCAGGGTGTCATGCTTGGGCCCCCCACATATTGTATCTGTATCTTTCTTTCTATTTAATAAATTAACCTTTTCAGGTTTTCCAAAAAAAAAAAAAAAAAAAAATA